ATCACAAGGCGAGATGTGTTACAAGGACGGTTTTAACGTGGGGATTTCCGGGTACGCTCGGGCAAAAATTCCTCGTAGACCCCGCATATATGGGGTCGGGTGGCTATCTACCTCCTCAGACGAGATTTGCCCATAGGCTGAGCCTCGCCCGAGTTTCTCTCCGCCCAAAAGCAGAGAGTCCGACAAACAGAGTTTTGGTGAACGGCTAGCTCGAGATTTACTTGACCGCCCCCGCCGCTGAGTCAGGTTGTAAGACAAAGTCGGTTTTTAACGTGCGGACCCGAGTGTTTCCACTCGGACCGCTGGTCTAAGCTGGTCTAACTTGTCTAAGCTGGTCAAAGCTTGTCTAAGCTAGTAACATGTCACGCAACTGTAGGGGGCGCAATGGAGAAGAGAAGGCCTCTGGCGCAGAACAGATACTACAACCGCAGCATCGACTCCGACGGGACTCCGACGGGACTCCGACAGGACTCCGACGGGACTCCTTGCCCATCTCCGCCTCCTCTGACAATCCCTCTTGAAGAATCCGGAAAGAAAACCTCTGATTTTTTTAAGCATAGCTTAGATGTGGCACAAGACCGAACGTGTGGAGCACCCAGTGAAGATCGAACTCACTAATCAGTCGTAATTGATCTAGCGAGACAAACTTGCTAACTACTACGCCACGTCGAAGTGCCCTGGTGAATGGCTAGCTCGAGATTTAGCTGCTTATTCTGTGCATATATAGACCTCAATTGATTGATATGTTCTCTGTGTTGAAATCATTCACCTTCGGCAACGTACATCATACTAAAAGGCGTCGAATAATTTTTCCTTCTTGTCAATTTTCCTTTCCGGCCTTAAAGCTTTTAAAGAAGACTTTATCGACGATTTAAAACGCTCTGGTAGTTTCAAATCGTCGACTTCTCTTTTTATTCATTGGCAGTAATTTTTCGAAAATGGATTTAAATTTCGTAGCAAACGTGAACTCAGTAGGAGACATTTTCGTGGTGACGTTTGCATTTGACGTCATTCCATATTAGCTCAAAAATTCTTCAATTTCAAAGTCTTTAGTTTTTCTTAAGGGAATTTTGAAGGTGTCAGCAAACCGTTCAGCTTGTATGTCTAAGTGGGCATCGAATGGTCGTTTGTATCTGTATTTGTGTATGTGTGTCTATCTAGTGGGAGTTCTATCTTCATCTTTGTGCAGTCAACCAGCGCAGCGGGGTGTGAAAAGGTTCTAATTTATGGCTGACCTCTTTAAGAATGCACACTTTGTATTAGATAGATATACATTTGATTCATTAAGAATATATATATATATATATATATATATATATATATATATATATATGGGGACAATTTACTCATCGCACTATATATATATATATAGTGCGATGAGTAAATTGTCGCCATTTCATATTTCTAATTTCGCGCATGTGCGTTGTTTTTTATTTTGTTGCCTGCAGAGTACAGTAGGATCAGTTAGGCATCGTCTGTGAGAAAAGGAGCGCCATAAAGCAATTCACTCCGCCAGAAATTTGGAAACGGCGTGCCGTACTACTTGATATTCGCGCCGGAAGCTACAATACGGACATTTCAGTGTTTGGATGTCAATCTGAGGATAGTGCAGAGGATTCGGAAAGAGTTGTATGAGTCTAATGGTGATTACGACAGTGATCGGAGGGATCCCTAGTGATGGCGACGTTATGCCTCCACTCATCTTCCTACAGGGTCTCAGACACAACACCGAGGCCTACATCAAGTGCCTTGAGAAAATAGTGCAGCCCAGGGTCAAGAGAGTACCTGCTGGGTAACACTATGACTGGCATCAGGACTCTGCACCATGCCACTCTAGCAGGAGAACCCAGTCATGGCTGTCAGACAATTTCTGCAACCACAACACTCCTTACATCTGGCTACCTAACTCCCCAGACTGCAACCCCTTGATTATTATGTGTGGTGCGCAGTTGAGCGAGATATCAACAAAACACCTTCTAACACCTAAGATGAAGTGAAAGCAAGAGTTATGGCACCATTCACCAACAACGAGACCGTTCAGAAGAGTTGCAGGAGATTCCGAAGCATCTGGAGACCCTGGCTAAAGCCAATGGCGATTTTATTGAATAACTTTACACTTTAGTATTTCAAGGTATTTTTGTGTAATTTTTGTAAGTATATCTGTTAAAATAAGATGTCAATGTTATTTTCATTTTTGCGTAATATAGACGACTATTTATCCATCGCACCCTGTATACACACACACACACACACACACACACACACACACACACATATATATATATATATATATATATATAATAAGACAAGATACAATATTGGACAAAAAATGGGTCTATAGAGCAGCCGTTTGGACCACACTGTTGTACGACTCAGAATCGTGAACCTCATATAGGTCCCTTATCAATCAGCTGGATGTCTTCTACAAAAATTGTCTCCGCGCGATTTGTGGCTATACTTTTAACAATATGGTGTCCAATTCTGATCTTCTCGCAAAATGCAACATTGGTGGAATTGTGTCTTTCCTGATGCAGTCACAATTTCCCTGGGCTGGTTATGCTCTAAGGATGAATGATGACTAAATACCTAAGGTCCTCATGTATAGCCAGCTTGACAGTAGACAAAAAACTGTTGGACGGCCGTGGCTCAGGTATAAAGACATGCTAAAGAATAACTTCTCAGCTGTCAATGTGCCTCATACTAATTTCGAGCGAGTTGCCCCGGATAGAAATAACTGGAGATATTTGTGCCAGAGTAATATCAAAAATTTTGAAATCAGTCGTATTGACCGGCTAAGAGACGAAAGACAACGGCGAAAAGCGTCAACAAATATTCCCAAGATCCTCGCTGTTGCACAATATGTGGACTTCTTTGCATGTCACTAACGGCACTGAAGTGTCACATACGACACACACAAAAATGAATGAGTTTGTTGGATCTTCATTAGTCGAAATAATATATATATATATAAACAACTTAATAATGATCGAAGAAAAAGAATAGGAATAGAAAAATCAATTGCTACACACATCCATTTAACCAAATGGTTATTACTAAATTTGGGGAGATATTTCTTCATTTAATTGATAAGGATTTCCTCAGAAATAATCCACCCAGTAAAATATTTAACAGAATCACACTAAAATTAAGCTATACCTGCACCGATAATCTAGAAAAATTATAAAAAGACATAATTATTTAGTTAAAATTTTAAAAAACCAGACGATTGCGTCTAGCATGAAACAGTATGTCGCCTCTGAGTTTTGACTTCAATGTTCACTTTTATATTTACATACGCTCTATCTCTGATACGGAGCACTTTATCCCATAAATATAGCACACCTTCAAACTATATTTCTTCATATATATATATATATATATATCTATATATATATATATGTATGTATGTATCTTCATATATATATATATATATATCTATATATATATATATTTCTACAGTTATGGGATAAGAACAAATGGAGTATTACACTCTCTGTAGCATTTAATTTTTAAAAAAAGGGCTCAATACAGCGTAGAGCTTAATATTATTTATTATATGAGATTAAAACAAAAACGTTAAAAATCGCTACACAATAGCTTTCATATTTCAGCACTAAAATTGTGCCTCTTCAGGCGATGGTAAATAACTGGTGATTAAAAAATTATTTTTAAATTTCAAAACCAGATAACAACAAAATGAGGCTTGTGGGTTTACCCTGATTAACCAATTAGGTGTTGGACCTACGCTAAATTAAAAATTAATTTAAAAAAGGCGGGTATTTGATCATGGTAAAATGTGGTTTGAAATATTATCCTAGACAAGGTCATGAAAGAAGCTAACGGCAGGGATAGGAAGATAATCAAATGTATAGCTAATTGTAACATATATTTTATAGTTGATAATAAAAAGGCTTCTTTAAGAAACCAGTAAATGCAACTTAAGTGTTTAAAAATAAAAATAAAAAATGTGCAATATTCATACAAGATGTTGATAATGCCGACTAAACAGCAATACATAGCTATATTAATTTCAAATAAACAAAATAACATAATAATCATTCATAGAAGGTGCACCGCAAATTATTTACTAATTATAACCATATGAAACAGTACTACCAAATTTAAAGTTTAACCATATTGTAAGGTGAAAGGCAAGCTATGCCTACAATTTACAGTTAATTCACTTCCTTTGTTCAATAGAGATTTTTTATCAGCAAATCTACTCATTACTAATTTCCTGTGTAAGCATAAGAAGTAAGGGTCATTTAAGGATTTACAAATTCTAGCTTTTTTTAAAAAACTTTCCATTTAACCGTAGGAGTTTTACATCTAGCATGAAACAGCCTGTCTCCTCTGAGTGCTGACTTCAATGTTCACTTTTATTTTTATATATATATATATATATATATATATATATATAACCATAGACATGTTACAAGATTTATTTAGATCATTTTTGTTGATTTTTCTAGTTTTCATACCAGCAAAAGAATGTTTGGCTTCGGTATTGTCTGTATGCATATATTTGAGCGCTTACATACGATAGTTTCTACAAAAACTTAATATGAAAGTTCGTTACTCAATAACAGAACTCTATTTTCGCCAAGTTAACCTTGCTGCATGAATGAAACGTAAAGAACATACTCATTTGAAATTAATTCATAAACATCCACTTATGTACAGCCCAAATTATGGTACAAGTCGGACACGTTTTATCTTTTGCAATAAAAGCTGTGGTATAAATTCTAGTCGGACGAATTCCACAAAAGAAATTGGCAAACTGATTTCAGTTTGAGATTTTGATTATTGATATTTTCTTAAGAAAAGCATGAACTTAAAACTCCCTGATTCTGTCCCATCATCTGGAAATGATGAAACATAGGAAAAAGAAGTTGTGCAAGACTTTCATTAAAACTATACCGAATGCTGGTTACTCATTTTCCGGTTTTGCATCTAATTTTATAAGATAAAATGATTTTCTAACATGTGTAATACTGAAATACGGCCACATCACGTTGAAACATTAATTTCCGTACGATCACCAAAGTTGAGCAACGTCGAGCCTGGTCAGTACCTAGATGGGCGACCGCTTGAGAATACCAGGTACTGTAAGATTTGCTATGCGAGTGGTGTAATGGATAATGGCTCAGATTTGCTAATCGGAGAGCTGAGTTCAAATTTCCGTTAGGTTTGTTATATTCACTTACCCGAAAATACCCTTGAGAAAGGTAAGAATCCATCCCTTCTCCCCCAAACATAGGTTAATTAGTAAGACTTGTATCGCTAAACCATTATTATCTAAAAAAAATTCTTATAATCTAAAAATACTTTGGGGCTTTAAATAAACTACGAAGGGTTGATAAACCGTAAAAAGCGACTCAATGAAATCAATCAAAAAAAAAAAAAAATAGAAATCGAACAACACTGACTGTAAGTAAGTATAAATGACTTATAAGTTATAACGAAATGAAATTTTATTGGTGAAATTTGTTTACTAACTCCAGATTAGTGTAGTCGAGATATATTTAAGGTGTTTTGGGAAATTTGGTTTCAGTGATTATGACTTTACTAAACGCGCCAAATATTTACTATATCGCCTCTCCTGAGATTGAAATAAAATCATAAAGTCGATTAATGGCGAAATCCAAGATAATAAGGGCGTAATCTCGAATAATAAGGGCGTAATCCATGATAATAAAGGCGTAATCCGAAATAAGGGCGTAATCAGAGATAATAAGGGCGTAAACCGAAATAATAAGTGTGTAATCCCAAATAAACTATTGATTCATTACAAATAAATGAAATATCAAAGAACGCTCAAAATAACATTGTCAGTGAGAGATAGAGGCCAGAAGTGCAGGAAAATATAGTTGATTCTGCAAATGTTCGAACTGTTTCTTCCAAATAATCTTCATCAGTGTTGGCATCAGTGCTGTTTGAATGAAATACGAGTTGAGACATTTAGCCATTACCTTTCAGACGGAACCAACGAACTGGGTTCAAATTCAAATGTCGTTTTCGTTTCATTAACAGACTAGAAAAGAGAGAGACAAAACCACTTTTATATATGATCCCTTTGCATTTCCCACTGCCAGGATGTGATAAAAAAAATAAAAAGAATGCCGTGTGCCCTTAATAGTTTAAAAAGAAAAAAAGGTCCTAATCTTCATATGAGATTAAATTTATATTGTTTCGAAGACATCATAAAATCAATATTGGTCTTCTTCAAAATTCTCACGATGTTTATTTTTTATTTTGTTTATATGCAGAAGGCCCAAGAAGAAAATGGTCATTTTGTAAAACATTTCACAACTTTAATATTATTTTAGATCCTACAAAAAAGAGACAAACATTTGAATGGCCTAACGCTTCGTGCTTTTGTTGCCAGTAGAGCAAATAAATTACTTTACATTAGGGACATATCTACAATAAATAAATCCGTTTTGATTTCGGGTGGAGAAATTCAAGATGGCTAGTTTACAGTCATATTTAGTTTATTAAATAGCTTTATTCAAAAAAACAACAACAATGAATCAGTATGATTGTGTTGAGTTGAACTAAAATCTAAAAGAATATAATTATCCTCACATTTTCCGAGGTAATTAAAAAAGAAATATGCATAGTTAAATTAATCGGGAGCCAGATGAGAACTTAATCGCAACCCTAACTCAAAAGCAAAATCGAAATTCTAACATTTAATCAGCTTGCCTAGGAAACGCTTTGTGCTTTTTGAGCGGGTGGGCATGTCAATGATGCAGAATATAGGTAGATAGAAAGAAAATTTTGAATCGGATAAGGCAAAAAACAAACCGATTATATGAAAAGTTAAATATGTTCAGTCCTTATGGAGCATACACAATGGTGAACATGTACCAAAGTATCACATGCGCAGACACACATACAAACAAACATATATATATATATATATATATATATATATACAGAGATAAAGATATACATAGATATAATATGTATGTATATAAATATATATATGTGTGTGTGTTTTGTTGAATAATATAGATATTGTATCTACTTATTTTCATATTTATCCTTTCATGTTCTCTTATTAGTTTCTTGATATTGAAATGAAATATACTAAGGAAGGCGCTGTAGTTTTTTTTAATCCACGTACTTTCGAGCTTTTCTAAGATCATCTTTAGGGGCAAATTACAAAGACAAACATGCTATTTTAACTGCGATAAAATGAAAGACCCATAAACAAATGTTTGTGTAGTTATGCTAATACTTTAATAGATTTTCAGTACTGCTCGGATGTTACATTCTCTTGCAGAGATGTGCCAACGTGTTTTGCAGTAGATGTTGCATAAATTCTGTGAATCTCTCGTATTTTTCACCTGCAACATGATTCTGTTCAAAGTCTCTCTTGCCATTGTGTGCTGCTTTCTCCTCCACGATGAACAATCTAGAGCAAGGTTTTCCCGGTTATTTTGCACTGTTCTTGATGCAATCTTTGTATCTCTACTTCGGCTTGTACACTGG